AAAAAAAAAAAAAAAAAAAAAAAAAAAAATGAAGATAACAAGGAAAATTTTCTTGGTTTTTAAATTATTCAGTTACTTTTCAAACATTTTTTCTGGCTTTCTACAAACTACAAGTTTAAACTACAAAGTTCACTGTGTCATCTTTATGTCAGACTGTCACTAACAGTTGCGCTCATAAGGAAATCCTTTTTACGGAATCGTTTCCATGAAATCTTCAGTGGCCAAAACCGGTTTTCAGTTTCAGCTTACTGTCTGCCAGTCTAAAGCCCCTATACGTCACATTGATGGAACACCAAACAACATAATAGGCGACAATGTTACTTGGCCGAAAGTAATCCTGATAAATATCTCCAGAAACACCCTCGTCATCTTCACTCCTCTGTCTTCTACCGAAGTGAACGATTTAAAACAACGAAAATAATAGCAACAACAACACAAAAAAAGTGCAAAACAAAAGAGAAGAAATAGAGTTTTTTTTTAAGTGAACTACCCATACTTGGACAATCCTATCAGACATAAAATGTCTACCGAAATCCCCTAAGAGTTATCCAACATTTTCAGCAACTTCGTTTCAGCTCCTTTGGTTAATTAATAAAGCATTATGTTTGATGTCCTTTTTTTTGACATAAATTTTAAGTTCGCAAAGAAAAACAAACAACAAGTGGGGTTTTACCCATGCTAAAATGTTCATCTATATTTTTTATACCTCCTAAACTAAAAAAATTTCTTGAACAGCCTTTCTGAAAAAAAAAAAACTCAGTTTCAAAAGGCGAGCGATGAAAATAATAGCAGAGGAGGAGCAGCAACGGCAGTAGTAGAAGCAGTAGCAGCACACCATCACTGACAGCATTATGGTAGTTGCTAGATGAATAACGAAGAAATAAATTTCAGATAACATGCCTGTTTACAAACCCAGCCGATCATCTCCACCAGTCTCCTTCCACCAAAACTTGGCTTATTAAAAGTCGCAATAACCTTTCTTCAAGTAACTCCTTCTCCTTCTCTCCTTACCCCTAGTAGGCTCTTAGTCTGGATTCAGCTACTAGCAATTCTCAGGCTTTTTCCACTGCGTCAAAATTTCCTTTCGTACAATAAAAATTTTTCAACTATATACTGAAGAGATATTGTTGCTGTAGCCATTCAATTAATCTACTAAATTATTCTTTTGCCATAATGTGTGACAGTTGTTTTTTAACATACAAAACTGTTAAGTCACTTGAAAACACAAAAAAGTTGGAAAAAAATCTAAAATAACTGAAAAAAGAAATTTTTTTTGCTTGACATAAAAAAAAAGAATATATCGGCAAAAAAAAAATAAATGTTCTGAGAAACGAAGTTAAAAGTTAAAGTTACATTAAAAAAAGCCCATAAGAAATGCAATAATATGCCACGAAAAAATTGAAGACTTTTTTGCTACTCAAATCAACCCAAACAATCTATGTGTATCAGTGATGTAATAGGGACATCTGAACTAAAAAAAAGAAGCACTTATAAGAACAAAGAGATGGAGAGAGAAAAATTCAGTTTTTTTTCCTTGTGCCCAACTTTTTGGATTCAATCAGACTTTTTTTTACACCAGCTATTTGATCACTTTGAAATATTTCAATCAAGTCTTATCGAACAAAAAATTCTTCATTTTTCCCGTATACCATCAATAACGACCACGCAAAATGCCACATGGCTCTAAACAAAAACTAACAGCGATCCCGTGTTGTACCGAAAACAACCTGCGCGGTGAATAATGATTTGCGCAGATTCTGCGTGCTGACACAGTGCCTACAGTATAACCACCAAATTTACGGCTGGCATTTCAAAACAATTAGTGCTGCATTTTTGTTTCTAGATAAAGCCAGAAAAAAATGAATGGGATGAAAACAAGAAAAGCAGGAGAATATCTGATGACAGAAGAGGAAGGGAATGAAGGTCAATAAAAACAAAACAACAATAGTAATAATAAAAAAAAGTGACTTGACAAACCTTCCGGATAAATATGGTAGTATGGAAGCAACAGGATCGTATGTTGTCGCGCATTTCAGCGCGAAACTCTTGGGTTTCAACGTAAATTAGATAGATGTCCGGCGGCGACAAAATTCGATAAAGCCGCCGTCTGAGGCGGCCACATATCGCATAATTGTATTGTTTGTTGCAATAGACACT